CTACCCACCATGACTGCATTAAAAATCAACTTAATTTCACTGCCCATGGGGTCAGTTTTATGGAAACACAAAAACCAAGATCAACACAAACACGGCAACTGGCAACTGGCAAGCAGCAACATTCAACATTCAACATGCAGCAGCAGCAGCAACAGCAACAGCAACAGCAACAGCCAAACAGCAACAACAATAACCGAGAGCAACGATGAAAAAATGATGAAGACCTCCAAAGTGGCAAAACACGAAATGGCAACAAAAATCATATTTTCACAGGCGCTTGGCGTTTGCGCAGAACTTCGCACTTGATCGGAAGATGGGATGATGGGGTTTTGGGGGAATCACTGAGAAGGAGGAGAAGGAGGAGAAGGAGCTGGGATACGGGCACGGAACTCCGCTGAGAGACCCCGAAAACATACGCAATTATGTGTTTTTTATTAACTCGGAGATGGGGCCATGGCCAGGAGGAGAATCCACTACGAGTTCAGTCGCCATTAGGGGGGTCCACTCGTACGGTCCACACACGCACTCTCTATATAATTTTAACACATGCTGTGTTTTGGGCCTTTCGCTTCTCAGCCACAGTCTTTCTTCTGGTCTTCTTTTTGTTTTCCTTTATTTTTTTTTTTTTTTTTTTTTTTTTTTTTTTGGCACTGCAACATTTCCCTCTTGGCTTTAAGGCTTAATAACTTTATTTAGCTTAGATGGAGATGAAGATGGAGCTGGCGGAGATGGCGATGGAGTTGAAGATGGCGATCGTGAGCCGTGTGTGGCTTAAGACCAAGAGTCAAGCCAAGGTACGAACGGATCGAGATCTGGCTTTCGGTTTGGTATTAATTAGTGCGGTAGTCCTTTGTGGCCAAAGCTAAGAACCCGGACACAATAACCCACAACAAAAGCTGGCCAAAAGGCTCTTCTTTGGCGTTGCATTATTTAGACATCAAGACTTTGATTGATGATTCTTTGGCTGTTTGAGTTGCATGACCCGGGTGTTAATGGTGAAGTAATAGCATTGTGTAACCTTTCGATTTGTTGCAACAAGAGAGGTTTGAAAAATAATAATAATTAGTCCAAATTTAGATACACTTTCTTAGGGTGAGCATTAGATTAGTGTTAATCAATGTTAAACTGAAGGTAACTCCTTCTTAAAATTTGTAAAATCACATATTTACCAATCAACAGAGAGCTTTGACCTCTGAGTTCATTCATTAATTAATTCCCAAAAAGCAATAGTTTATTGATCCCAAAACATAAACCGCAAGATATCAGAGGCTTATAACGTTTATTTCCCCGTTAAAACCTTTATCTCAAACCTTAACCCTTCACTCATTTTTCACATTACAAGTCAAATTAGCAGAACGCTGAGCCACACACAAAATCCTGCGCCACATGGAACAATTAAACAATTCATTTATCTTAATTTGTCTGCAATTTCCTTGGATATCACCTTGGGACTGGGGACTTGGAACTGGGATCCAGCTGCCCTGCTGTCCAGGGAGAAGAGAAAAAAAAATTTGAAATTAATTGCTGGCAGCGATTTTCGTTCCACCGCCTGGCATTTCTGCTGTGTCATAATCTTCACACCCGAAAAAAGGATTCACGATCGCAGACAGATCGTCCGGGGTGATGATCTTTTCCGCATCTCTGCCCTTTGCCTGCCTTCGAGGCTGTAATCTTTAAATAATTTAAGCCAATTCGCCGTAAACCGTTAAGGGTCCAGAGCAGGCCAGGGCGTTGCCCATCCATCTGCCATCTTGCCGATCCGATCTGTGTTAATATTTGCTCACGATCATCGGCTTTTAAGGACCTTTGGCGGCTGCGGTGGCGGTGATGGTGAAGGTGACGGCAACGAAGGAAGAGGGGGCAAAACCCTAATTACCACATTAAGGTGTCAAAATGATGAGCATCATCTCCTTTGTCTGCCGCTTCTTTTCGCCGGCAACAATGTGGCAAATTTAATGAATATGTCAAGTAGTCAGCGCTCCAGAGTGTCCAGTGATAAATCTGCTTTAAAGTCTAAGAACACTAAGTTCCCAGGCCAGCAGTCCACGGGTCTTACTCTGTGTAAGACCATTTTGTGAAGAAATCTGTGGATAAGTCTTCGGGTTTGCTTATGGAGCGTGTCTGATCTCTATATGGCCATATTTTCTCTTTGTGCCTGGGAACTAGGAAGTTCCAAGGAGCTTGTACTAGTAAAATAAAGTAAGGCTTACCTTTATGGAAAGAATTGTCCATTTGTCCATAACTCTTGTATCAGAAATAACTCTTTGAATATTATTTTTCACTAATATTCTCTTTAAATCTTTCATTAAGTTAAGATAGTTAAGGGATAGCTAACATTTCTACTAAAACGCAAAATTTTCATAAAATATCCCCAAAAATCATTCACTTTCCCATTTTCCATGACCAGCAGATCCCAATTCCTAGCCACTTTCAGGGGCAAAGTCAGGAATCAACCAAGAAGAAGATTTTGTGGACGATCGACCCTTTTGCGTTTTTTTGCGTCTTTTGTCTTCTCTTTTTCTTGCCACATTCTTTTACGCTCGCCTTCTTCTTTGCCACTTCTTTGGGTTGTCTTTTGGGCCTTCTTGGGCTGAGCCAGGTTGAGGTCCAGGTTGCAGGTTCTCCAGGTTCCAGGCTGCAGGTTCCAGGGTCCAGGTTTTTAGGTCCCAGGTCCCAGGTCCATCGGCCAGTCGGTCGTTCGTTCCATTTTAATAACATTAATTAAGGTGTTGCCTTCGTTGGTGTTCTTCACGCCTTTCCTTACAAATTACGCAGGAATTTCATGTTTCAGGTTTTGTTTCTGTAGTTTTTGCTGTTGCCGTTGCTGTTATTTGGATCCCGGACAGGCGTTCAAGCGGTCTTAATAGTTGTTCTTCTTTATTGTTGTAGCGCCCCGTCGCCCTGTTGTTGTTGTTTTTGTTGCTTCTCCTTTTGCGGCAACTGCTGGCCCAAGAACTGCAATTTGGCTAAAATGGTTCCTGCCGCTTGATCGCCGAAGATCGATATGTACACCTCCGAATTAAGCCATTAGTTGGAGTCTATATAGCCGCATTTATATATTCCCTATATATCAGTTTGATATTGGGCGCCATTTTAAGCGCCACTTGAAAGGAAATTGACCGCTTTTCACGCTTTTGGTTACAGAGAGAGAAAATTGTGGTGGGTTACAGCAGCAAACTGTTAAGAATGTTATAGATAATGGTAGTTTAATATAAGAATATCAATCAAAGGTTGTTATTTGTCTTATTAGTTGATCAAAAGTACCTTAACTTACCCCAAATTATACCTTATCATGGTCATTGGCCATAAACAAGTTACCAAACTAAAGACTAATGAAGGGAATATCTTACCAAAATAGTTAACATCCTTAAGACCAACTTATAGTTAACCCCTTAAAAGACAACATTTTCTTCCGTTTAAGGACAGCATTAAACTGAAATTTTATTAACATACCAAAAGAAGAAAGAAACCCACAGCCAAGGTCAGAGCGGGGTCAATGGCACTCTAGAGAAAAGAAGTGAAGGAGGAGAAGGTAGATTGAGGTAGCGCCATAGCCATACTCGTGTTTAGTTTGTTAGATGGATGACTAATAAGCGTCGCCACAATTAATTGAAATCCACTGATACGCATCTGCCGAATGGCTTCAGATACAAGCAAATCTCATTAACGCGCCCAAGATAAAGCCACTGGAATCTGGAAAAACAACGCAGAGCTAAGAAGGAGAAGAAGAAGAAGAAGAAGATGAGATGCGATGGATCCCAGGGTAAATATATATCTCGGCTGGCGTACATTTTGTTCAGTCAAGTGAACCAAAGCCAAGGCAACGGCAGCCAAGAAGATTCCAAGCCCAATCCCAATCCCAATCTGGAACCCAATCCCACATCGCTGGCTTTATAAATGCATGCAGATACAGTTTTCGTCTTTTGTTTTTTACTTTTATTTTGGTTTTTTTTTGGAAGTCAAGCGGTTTGCATTTGTACGATAAATAAAATGAATGCGATTGTTAATTAGTTGTTGCTTTTCAAGAGAGAGAGAGCTGCTGCCGCTGTTGCTGCCGGGAGTATCTTATCGCCGGCCTGGGCTTGTCTTCTCGGCAGCCCCAAAATAATAAACCAAATAAGAGGCCCACAATCAGCTCCAAGTAGGCAAATGGATTGGAATTTGGTCTTAATGTTGGATAAGTCTTTGGATTTTTCTTAGGCTTGCTTGGCTGTTAAGATCAGTTAAGTTCTTGGCTTACAGAGAACTTAAATAACGATTTATTACTCATTTATTTGTTAAATTTAAGGAGTTTGAAAGATAATTTATGATAAAAATCAACGACCTACTTTAGTTTTAACCTCAAAGTACCACCCACAAACAGCCCATTAATCAGTGACTTTTCACCGATCAATTTGAAATTCCAATGAATTTGATTCATATTCGTGAGCTTCTGTTGTTCATAATGGAAACATAACAATATCCATTTAATTACATGCATTTAGCGACATCGATTTGATTTCTTAATTTATGCAGCCAGAGATAGATGGCGCTCGATCGATCTGTTTTGTAATTTATGCACAGTGGGCAAATCAATTTTCATTCTGCTCAAAATGCGTTTTGCATTTGTTGGTTGGTCCGTTGTCATCGAACCTTTGTTTGCTGTTTAGGCAAATATCTATTGATTCGAATCTCAACAATAAAATTGTGTTAATTTATGGGAAAGTCAACGGAATGGCATGACTATGCCCGAAAAAAGATAGATAGATACATCTGAATGAAACTGGTAACTGGTAACTGGTTTCTGCTGTCTGTTGTCTTCATTCATTTACGTTTAATCATTTATGCAGATTTCAATCAATGGGCGAATCGATTTGAAATACATTTCCGTTTAGCATAACGCTGGGTCGCAGACAATCTGCTTACTTAAAATTCAATTTGTTTGCAATTAATTGGCTGACAAGGGGAAGGAGTAAAGAACCAAAAACATAAAATAATAATAACTTTTACTCCGTTTTAGTTTTAGTTTTTCTCTCATTTTTATTACGACTATTTACAAGGCTTACATGATCTGCATATGTATGATTTAATGTGAGTTTTAATTCGTATTTACAACTAGCTAAAAGATTAGAGATACTAGTGTTCACTTGTTAGTTAATACTTCCTCTGTAAGTATGTGTGTGTGTGTGTGTGTGTGTGTTTCTATCACGCGAAATGGAAAGCTTTCAAAATTCTATTCCTGACTAATCCGAAAAGAAATAATACAAATAATCTGGCCTTTGCTGGCCCTCTCAAAGACAGGTGTTCACCGCTCGATGCTCCAGGCACTTTTCGCAGGTCACCTCGCAGCACCACTTGAAGACGCACTTGCAGTTGGTTTGCTCTTCCACGATCCTTCGGGTATGTCCTCGATTGCAACACAGTCGATCACATCGATCCGATCCCAAACTGGTCACATTGCACTCCCTTCCCTGAGTTCCCAATGCCCCCGTCTTCGAGTTGGCGCACAAAAAGTCGGGTGACTCGTCGGCGAAGACCAGTTGGTACTTGTTGGCCGGCCTCGTGTGCGGACTCTCCGGCATAAAGCTGTTCCCGTCATTGCGCAGCGTCACCTTCCTGGCACTGTCGTACCGATCTCGCAGCCGTCCTGCCACTTCCCGGAATGGGGGCATCTTCAGCCAGCAGGTCTTCACCGTGCAGGAGCCGGACAGACCGTGGCACTTGCACTCCAGCCGCATGGCATCGCGAATGGCCTGAAAGGAGGCGGAGGATTTAAGGGGATTTTTGTATTTTTAATTTAAAACTAAAACTAAATGAAGCTAAACTAAACTTAAGCAACTCACCAATCTCCCTGCATTGTTATTATGCAACTTGACCAGCGTTCCCAGATCGCTTCGCCGCTGCCTCTGCTTGGCATCTAGGAAAACCCTTGAGTGACGAAGGCCAAAGTTTACGTTGTCGCTGCATCCGCCCCACTCCCACTGGCCTTCAGGGAACTTGATGTTGTCCCAGAACTTGCGGCGACCCCTCCTCCCGCCGGGCCTTCGACTCCGCCCGCCCCGATTGTCCATCGGAGTTATATCCGTCATGCTGCTGCCGTTGTTGATGTGATTCATCCGCTGCAGCTGGCCGGGAGTTTGATCCTGCAGAGGCGCTTGCTGCCTTAGCATGGCAGCCTGTTGCTGCCTTTCCAGTGCCGCCTCTGCTGTGGCTGCCGTCACCATCTGCGGCTGACCGCCGTTTCGCCGCATGTGAGCCTTGTCGCAGGAGCACTCCACCAGCTGGCCCATGGTACAGGCCTTGGTCACGGCGTAGGTCACTCCAGCGGCGGTGATGGCGTTCACAAAACCCGTCTCCCGGGAATCTGGAAATATGGGTTTCTTACTTGAGATATTGGTACTTAGATTATTTCCTTTTAACTACCATCTCCCCAGAATTCAATATCCTTCTCCCTCTTAAAAAGCAAACCACAAGCCAGAACTCATTTGCCTCGCTTTCAATCAATCCTCAATCATTATCGCTGTCAGCACGTGTCGCCTGATTGATTTTAATTTGTCAGCCTCGGCGACAAAATGATTTATGGCTTGTTCGATTGGCGATCGATGATCGGTGATCAGCGATCACTGCTCTCTGCTCTATGCAAATCGCAAATCAGAAAAGTCCGCTTGTGGTGTTTTCAGTCACGTTTAATGAAAGCGAAATCGGATTCGTAATCCGAATGGCAACTGCAATTGCCGTGTTTTTTTGAATTTGCATACGACTGAAGGTGAAGCGGTGGTTCTTTTTCCTCTACGACAGGTGATGTGTCTTGAGCCACCCTAAAAGTGGACTGTTACATGAGATCCAGCTTCGGATATATATATTTTACACGCTGACAGGTTGACAGGGCGAGGCCTTAATCCGGCCAAAAGGAGAATTTCGGTGGTTACGCCCGTGGAATTTATGGCTCAAACCCACAGTTTGGTATGTGTTTTGTTTACGCATTGTTGTCATTAAGTTGAGATATATATATATATATATATATATATATAGAGGATCAGTTAAGAGCAGTAACCAAAAGCTCCTCCTTTTCACTCGCCTTTTTCCCGGGCAATAATTTATTAAAATTGACAGCTTTGTAGGCTCATTTCAGGCGCTATTCATCAGCGCGGCTCGCTGCATTTTTATTATGCAACTTGATGGATGGTGCGGTGGCTCTGCAAGGCCTCGTCCATGACAACCCCAAACCCAACTCTGAGCAGAAATTAATGTAAAAATTAAGTAAAATAAAGTCGCGGCGGGTTGCGTTGTAATTAGGCAGCTAACCCGCGATGGCATCTCTTAGTGACTCAGAGAGAGAGTGTTGACAGGTTGCCCACTGCTAGCCAGGCCTGCATAATAAGTGCCCTGCCACCGCCCCAGCCCCTTAACTAGTCCTCTCTAGTAACTACTTACCGCGCATTAAGATTTTCCTCATGCTCTTGCGCAGGACAGTACAGTTCCAGCGGCGATTGCGGAAATTGGAACTCGCATTCGCGGAAGCCCAGGTTGATGCCATTGATGATGATCTCTTTGAGCAGGGCCGAGTCGTGCCGGCAGATTTCGGCCAACTTGCCGCGCAGGCGACGTGTCTTTTTGCACATTAGATTGGGATCGAGAAGGATGTTGGTGCCCTCGGCCCTGAAAAGATAAAAAGACGGTTAAATTATAAACTTAAGGGTTTACTTTCTTTAGTATTTCCCAAAACAACCTCTGACTAATCCCCTTTACCTTTTATTTCACAAAATTTCCCACCTAGGAGAGGGCACTCCCCAAAACTGTAGCGTCACAAACCGATAAGCAATCACGTATTCGATTATCTATGACCAACTTTTTGTTTTCCTCCAAGGGTTTGTCTCTGACCCGAAGGCATTTATAAGACCCAAGCACTTTGTCATCGATGAATAATCTGCACATTTTGAAGTTCGCCGAAGCTTGGCATGGTGATTTCTTGTATTTTTAGACTGACTCAGCTGAGAGTTCCCCTCACTTTGCACTGAAAGTACCAATCGCAATTCGCTGGAAGCAATAGATGATGGACAAACCGATCAATCAGTGCTTGAGGGAAGAGCTAGAACTAGCAGCAGGCCCTATTAAGCGTTTTATTTACCAAGGGGATCTAAAACCTCGGAGGGCAGGGGCGGAGAGCATAAACCATTCGAAACACTTTCCACACCAAGTGGGAAACGGAGCAACTGGGAAAACGGCGCAAAGTTCACAAAACTGGCAAAGTAAATTTCACGCGAATGTGCAATGTGAAAAAAGGCGAAAAGCCGAGCGATTGGGCTATTAAAAAGTCATAAATCTGAAATGGAAAAACATAAATCAGCGCCAAAGGCGAGCAGCAGTTCCCGCAGCTTCTGAATGCTGACACATACCCGACAAGTCGATCTCTTGCTGAATATATATATATATAGCTAACTATAGGTATACACACAGATATATATACGAGTATATCGAGCGAGTATAGTGACTATATGTGTGCTTACTGCACCCACATTGTGGGGTAATTATTAATTTTCCACCTAAATTAGATTTTAACGCCGCAGAACCAGCCGGCAAATGGCATTCAAAATGAAAACGAAAACTGCATCGATTGGGAAAATTGCTAAGTATAGCCATGAGCAAGTATTGGTGAAACTTTATTGATCAACTTTTTGTGCCAACGCTTCGATTTAAAGAATAATAAACAATAAATGAGGACCTCTTCATCGTCGCCATAACGCCATTACGTATACGCAGCTTATGACCGACGAGGCAGCCAAATTGAGTTCATCTCTTGGAAGTTTGTGTTTTTCCTTCGGCTTTTTGCAAGTTTTGGCAGTACTGAGCCAAAATAAACTCAGACAAATTTCGGCCAAGCAGTACAAATAAATAAATAAAACTATTTTTTTTAATGGTTATGAGTGGGGAATGATTTAGGCATTGGGTGGCGCCAATCTAATAAGTGGAGGCTTAACCGACAAATGGCTATGCTGCCTGAGATATCTACTAAGTAGATTTTTAGAAGATTTTAGCAGAAAGTGGCCTTAGAAGAAGAGTCTTCTCAGGCAGTGTCTTCTTTTTGCAGACTTCATTGAAAAATTCCCATCATTCCCGCCTTTAGCCTTTAGATAACCCAATTCAGTTGCCCCCGATTTTCTCAGAGGCAGTAGATAAACCACTTCAGATTCCCATTATCGATGCCCACCTGGGTTGCCTATTGCCACCTGGCTGTTGCACTGTTGCAGCTCCCTCTGCTCTTTACACTTACCAAACACTCGGGGAGATTATGACAACTTAATAGCTTAACAAAATGAACAAAAACAAATAACAAATAGAGCAGACACACGCACGGACAAGTACTTAACGAAAATATTAACTCCAAAAGGCAACAACGAGAGAGTCGCCTCGTCGACCGCCAAACACAAAACTTCAAATGATAGACGCGCTGGTAAACAAAGTTGAAACAATTGAAGTTCAAAACCCAATGATCATCTTCATCTTCGATCGAGATGTTGCTGTTGGGAATCTAGATGTTGCTGTTGCTACTCTAGATGTTGCTGCTGTTGTAGTTGCTGTTGCTGCTTTGATGATGATGACGTCTTTTGGCTGCGTTGCGTTGATGACTGAAGAGATCTAAAGAACTCAAACACCTTTCAACCACACAAGTTGCCACCACCACTAGCAGCAGCAACAACAACAACAACAACAACAACAACAACAACAACAACAACAACAACACAAACACAAATAGCAACTCGAAACAGAAAAAAAAGAGGAGATTTTTGTTAAGCGGAAAATAGCCGCACAGAGAGTGGAGCAACCGATCGTTCGACACTTTTTGGTTTTTGAAGTTGAACTGAAGTTTACTTGGCAGCGAAGTCGGCAGCGAGGTTGTCGGCAAACATGAAAAGGAGCCAGCGCAACTTCAGGTCTCTCAGGTCCCCTCAGCGGATCCCTCAGCCCATTCCCATCTCCCATTCCCATACGATACCATATACCATATACCATACCATACCATACCATACCATCTACTAAAGCAACACTTGGAAACGTATCTTTATTTTGTGTCCAGTATCTGTGTGTGCGTTTCTCTTTCGTTGGTATGGGTGTCGTTATAGGCCTCAATGGACTTTCAGTGATTCCTTTCCCTCTTTTTTCTTTCTCTCTCTCTCTTTGGCACTGCTTTGGCACTGATCAAAGTGCCCGGTTTGGTTTGGTACTCCCAAACGGACAAGTGGTTGAAATTTCTCATACCCACCCATGCTCCCCTGCACTAGCTGGCTCTGCTAATGGGTGGGCCAAAGTTGCGGCTCTTTATGGGACTTTCCCGGAATGCAGAATATATATATTTTTATTTTGCTTTAGAATTTGTTTTTTAGAATATTCTAGTTAACTTTTGTTGTTGGTCTTTGAAAGGAAAAGTTGTCGAAGGATATGGGAAGTGACCAACAGTTAACAAAGAGAACTGAGCTTGTCAATGGTACTTTTCCTTCACTCTACAAATATTCCCCCAATTGCAGAAATATCTTCATTAAATTTAGATAATCAAATATAAAAAACTATAATTTAATCTGTTTTAAAAACTGTAAGATTTAATACTTTATACATAGGAATTATGTTGCTTATCCTGATCCTGATTTCTGATTTCCTGATTTATCCACTTAAAACCAAAAGCTATTAATGACTTATGAAACGGTTATGAAATATACACCCATTATATACTAATTTGAAGTCAAATAATCATCAAAATAGTACAAAAAAGTTTGATTATTTTACCTCCTTTGACAACTGGAAGGATGTATTAAACTAGTCCCCGGTTAAGGTAACCTTAAACAGTGTACGAGTACTTGCCCCTTTAATATGACTTTCGTTTACTTAAGTAATTTTTAAGATAAGCCGAACTGTCCTTTTTGGTCATACATTAAATGTTTTTACAGAAACTTAGCATATCAAAAATCAGAAATTGGGATTATAGATAGATTGATTGGATTCTACAAATCCGACTAAAAAGCCCAAAAGAGGTCCAATGGATGGCTCATACAGAGTCTTCTGGTCTGTTCGCTGCTATCTAGTCAAGAGATGGCCAGCAGATTAGTAGCTGCTCTTCCAAAGTTTAGTCTTTCCCCCATGGGATTTCAATAATTGATAGAAAGTAAAATAAAATTCTTCCGTTTTTAAACAAATCTGCAGAAAGACTCGTGATAGCTACTAAGAAGAGCCTAAAGTTGCATCGAACACCTTTTTCCCCCAAAAATCTCCACCACACTGCAGTTCTTATTCCTGGATTTATGAAAGATTTATGATAGCCAGTAAGAATACCCTAAAGTTGCATCAAACACCTTGTTTTGGAAACGAATTTTCCAGAATTTTTGCAGTTCTAATTCCTCGATTTATGATAGGCAGTAAGAATACCCTAAAGTTATATCAAACACCTTTTTTAGATAAAAATTTCCCCCAAAATCTCCACCCCACTGCAGTTCTTATTCCTCGATAACTCAATATCTCTATGCCAGTAAGTGGAATCGTTTGATTGACTCATTTTCATGACTCAGACTGCAGCTCTCTGCAGCTTACCCCCTGCGTCTGCCCCCTGGATTCCCCTGAGATCAGTGTAAACAAATCAACGACTTAAACCACTTGTCAACATGCGAGTGGCAAAGTATTTAAACAAAGCGTTGACAAGTGAATGAATGGCCATTGGATTGGTCGCCCGACTGGCTCTCAGGCCTCTTATTTTCTGACTTGCTGGCTTCTCAGAGACTGACTGTCCGCCTTGGCCAAGTCCAGAGCTGTTGCGGCTGGTCAGTTTCATTTGCGCGCTCAATAAGCTCAAATATTTGCCCACGGAATGCCTCGGCGCAAGTGCTGATCTTTTGTGCATACGGGGATTTCGTGGCAGAAGCGTTTGATGTGGGCGGCAGCATTGACAATCGATTAGGTCCCCAGCCATGGCAACGGCTACTGGCGAGCAAAAGCCAAGCAAATAAATAAGAAACACCGAAAAGGTGTTGACATGACTGCAACTTGGGAACCGATCTGATCCGGTGGGTGCGGCGTCGTGTGTGGGCGCCACATGCCGCTTTTTGGCACCTTTTTTTGGGCGAGGAGTGCGACTGATGTTTGTCATTTGGCAATTGTCATGTCAACGTGTTAGCCCAGGCGCCTTCTATTTATTATTCTCTAACTCTAAGATGTCAGGGCAACAAAAATAATTAATAGCCTGGAAATATGTCATTCCTACAGCTTTTAATCTGATTACTTGGATTTCTACTATGAAGCTTCCCCTTAAACTTTAATACTTATAAATAATTGGCTAAGGAATCCTAAACTCAGCTTTGTCCTATGTTTCCCAGGCATGTCCATGGCCAATTGGCGCAACAAAAACGCTGGCTAATAATTCAGGCATATTTACTATGAGCACCAGGCAATGTCATTCCTTTAACAAGCCATCTCTTGCTTGCTGTGGGCAGGGCACGACTTCAACTTTAGCCCGTTAGCAGAGCCCTGACTGGGCTTAGCTCTTTGGGCCAACAAAGGCGACATCAATCTCCGGACTTGGTGACTTTGAGGTGCGCAAATTGCGACAACGTTTAACTTAATTATGGCACAAATAGGCGTAGCTGGGCTTAGGGAACGATCAACGCAGCACGGACATGGTCATGTTCATGTCAAGGATGTCTAAACTGTGCTTAATCACGGTGATTGAGGCTGTGAGAAAGGGGACTTAGACAAGGATGCCTTTGAGCTTAGAATGTCACCTCTATTAGAGTTAGGAAAGTATTTTGTTATGATTTGAGGGATAAATGGGAGAAATATAGAAAGATATATCTTTTATTAAAGTTGGATTGAAGTTTTGGTAAGGAAATGTCAGCCATTAACCTGGAAAAAGGCAAATATTATCCTTAAAAGAAGAACTAACTTAAAAGGTAACTAAGACCCTTTTCCCTTTCTTTCCCTTCTCCTTAAAACCGCTTCCGTACTTTCCCGAAAAACCGCTCATCCCAGCGAGTCACCTTCCTTCGGCGATGACGGGGAGAACACATTCTCGTGGCACTCGGCACAAATTGTTTGACAGACATGATGGGCTGGCCCTCTACCTGTTCGTAGTCGGCCACACCGTCCTCCAACTTGACCCATGTCTGGGGCTGCTGTTCTTCTGTTTCGTCATTCAATTTAATTATGATGCAGCTGACAGACAGCCCGAAGACAGCCAGAGGCATTCGTCAATGTGGCAAGGGGGAAAGCGACAAATTAACAAAATAAACAAATGGCATGACTCGTAATTAAAAGATTTGCAACAATCTAGTGCCCGCTAACTAGTGGCTGGCTACTTTTCAGGGTTTAAGGTTGGCCAAAGAAACTTGAACGTGAAACTTTCTCTAGAGACAAGGCAGAGAGACTCTCGCTAATGTCGACCGAATCGTGTCAGAGAGACTCTTCTTTTTTCTGCTGCTCATAATCAACTCATCTGCATTGGATTTTGGCAATTGGCCGAGTTTTGTCTGCTCGTTAGTTGAACATAATTATTGGGGGTGTTTGTTGTTGCTGCTGCTGGCTCATAAAGTGTGCCAAATTCGTTGTGGAGATCACATCTTGTGGTTGCACGGGGCGTATGAGCAATGTTGTTGATGCAACCACCGACTGTGGAGCCAGCACAGCTTGAGACTAAGTGGCCACTGGGCCAAACACCACCCAGCCCGCTGTTTGCCTTAACCCATTAATGCACCGCCTGGCATTAATTACCATTTCACATGCTGCGAGTGCCAAAAAGCGAAAAAGTCTGAAATCAGAAATTTGAAATTCAAAATCAGACTGAACGGACTTTCGATGAATGAAAATGTGAATTGAATGAAAAGCAGGAAGTCGCCAGCTAATGTCAAATGATTTTCCAACGGAAATTAGCTCATTTAGAGGGGTGGGGTTTGCAGGGGGGTGGGGCTAAGGGGTGTTAAATCAAATTGCCGCCGATCTTGCAAATTGCCAGATCTTCATCATCGTCTAGGGCGCTGTTTTTAATTAAATTCCAGACACATCAGCACTAAATTTCAGCCCGATCAACGGCAATTTGTTGTAGGTTTCTCTGTAATTGGCTGCCCCTCTCTGTTGCCTGGAATTTCCATTCATTTAACGGAACATCTACCCACCATATACGATCTGAGATCTGGGATATCCCCTTCGATCCGCATTCGTCTCTCCTCTCTGCTCATCATCATCTCTCTGGGCCATCGATTATGATCTCAATCGCTCACACAACGACCGTTTGATTTAGTGCACTTCGGCTGCGAAATTCGCAAAATGCACACAAACAAAATGAGATACGATTTTGTGGGGGGGGCTGTAAACCCCCCAAATCGCCTCATTTCGGCTATTTCCGGACCCATTCCGGAATGCAAATTGCGCAGATCCGCACTTGATGGGTTAATGTAAGCCCATTGATTAGCTTTGTGGGTTTGAGGAGATGATAGATTGGATTGAAATTATTCATAGTTTTCGAAATGCGGCGTTTGGTTTGGGGTGGTAGCATGAGTGGGGCTGATTAGTTGAGAAGTTTTTCTTATTTTTGGTTTAGTTTGATGTTTACTTTGATCTTTGCCTTGCCTTTTTGCTGTTTTTATTTTGACTTTCAATAGTTGGTTTAACAATCTAAGTCCTTACTTTCTTTCTTCCCCTTTGTAATGAGGCATAAACTTCTCCCTTCTGCCTTCTCCCTCCCCCTTCTGGCCTGGCATCCACCATAACTGAGCACTTTGATCAGCTGCCACCTTTCATGGCCTTTATCGACTGTCATCAGTTTGGTTTTTTCTTAATATTTAAATAAACTTTTTGGTTGCATACCTGACTGCCCCGCCCTGCCCTTGAGCAGTGCTGATGAAGCGCAGAAAGTGGCACAGGCCAGTGCAACTTTCGGGTGGCGGCGACATCATCACATGCAGCAGCCACAGTCAACGTTCGACATCAAAAGGCGGCAAAAAAGAACTGACAGCTCTGAACTTGAGCTTTAATTATTTAATTAATTTATTGTGAAAAAGGGGCAATTGAATTGGCTGCAGCATGGAAACACCCAGCCACTTTCCCCCTGCCCCTGCCCCAGCCTGCTCCCTTCCACGTTGCAGGTGTCCACCTTCGATGGCTGACGCGCCCAGTTGCACAGAATTCAAATGAAATTAATATAAAAAGAGGTATATATGTATATATAGAGTGAGGTATAGGAACGAAATCGTCATGCAGTCTACGCCACGCGACGCCCACGCCGCCCCCTTTTGGCCACCCTGCATCCCTGGCAAATTTCAGCTTTCGCAGCCGTTGACAGTCGCAATATTTCTACCTTTTGGCAAGAATATATATATTGGGCAAATTCATTGATGCCACTTTGCTGGCAAATATCTTGGCAAAGTGCATAACTTATGTGTTAGCAGAAGGAAACCCCTGCCCTTGCTGCCGTTTCCCATTTTCCTTTCTATTTGATGTCTGTCCTCCCCGGCTTGTTTATTTATTTATTCATCTCGTTGGACGCCTTCTTGGCCTGTAATTTCGCGCATAAATTGCTCCAAGTGTCATTTGGTTAGTCGGCTTCATCCGTTTCTAGTCGAATGCTATTTACTTTTTCACCTTTTTGGCCACAAAGAAAGCCAAGAGGGAGAGTCGAAAAGTTGCCATGTAATTAAATCTAAATCAAACGTCACATTTTGAAGGTCCGCCGAGTCGGTCGCCACGCTCGATTGGCTCTGATTTGGTTGTGCATTTTGCCATTGCATTTTGACCATTTAGATAGCTTTTGGCCGTGCATTTATTTCGGTCTGGCTGCACTTTTTTATTTGGCTATTTCGGTCTCCTCAACCGGAAGCTGTTACGCCAATCTCTAACTCGTAAATTGATGCGATTTGACATGAGCACAGATGCTCGGTTTGGGGGGCCACAAGACCTTCGAGCGGGTGGTAATGTGTTTTTTTTTTGGCATTGAAACTGAACATAAATTGCATGTTGAGGGGCCAAAGCAAAGCGACTTTGTTAGCTGAGTTGGTGCAGCATAAGTCTAAGCTAGATTGTGTAAATTTAGAGATTTGTCTGGTACTTTGTAAGATGTTTAGGTAAGAGGGGTAAAAAGGTAGAAAAGAAAAGATAATGTCTTCAGATTGAGGTGATCTTTTGCTTAACTTAGGCTAGCTTATATAAGTAAGACTGTGTAAGAACATAATCTTTGAAAGAGCTCACTAAGGTTAAACATACTTTCTTCAATGTTTGGTGGTTTCAAACCTAAGATGGGATCAGGAGATGGTTTTAGGATAAGTAGAATGATCAAAACGCTTATGAAAGGCAGTAAACTTCAAGAAATGTCCACTCTTATTAGCTTTACTGTATAGTTATTGGTGATATTCCAACATCCTGTAAAACATTCTTTATAAGTAAACAGACTTCTTGATCTAGTTTAGCAGCTGATAAAGCGATACTACTTAATCTATATTAAGTTAACTAGGTAAGTAACATAAACTAAGAAGAGTTAGCTGCAGTATTTATGATTACCATTTAAAATCTATCAATTAATCTAAAGAGATCTGTTTGTGCCATCAACTTAAGTGATTAATAATCGCCTGGCAAGTCTTCATCCTTCTAAATGATTTCCCCTCTCATCACTCTAAGATCCACCCCCTCTACAGTAGTTCCCAACTAAAACAGTTAACAAAACCAATCACTTACCAGCCGAATCCAGTCATTGGCATTGCGAATATTAGAATTGCAATTACCATGAGCAAACGCATATCGATTGAAGCCGCCAAGTGCAGCGGCAACAAACCGAAATCTGGCCCGTTGAGCTGTTTTCCTTTATGTTTTTCGCTTTAGTGAGTGAGTGCTGTATATATATATATATATATAATGTTTCTGTTGTTGTTTTTGTTTTTGTTTTTTGGTTTTTTTTTGGCAGGTAGTAAAAGTTAAAGCCGTTTTTATTGCGGCCACGATGAGTACACGAGATGCTTATTTGAATACCGTTGACGTGTGCGAATTAATCAAGCGGCTCGAGCTGAGTGGATTTTTTGGATGAACTTCGTCAGGGGGAAGTTGGCGGTCTGCGGCGTTGGAATCCCAGGCGACATGATCACCGATCTGATCCGAGCTGATCTGGCTGAAACTTCTTTCCTGATCTTTCACTTCTTTTTGTTTTGGTTTTTTTAGTTTTTTTTTGTTTTTAGTAACAGTGTCTGCTGTTGGCAGAGGCTGCGTACGCACACGGAGAAAGCTGCCGGCGTACTGAGCGGCGCGGCCAAAAGGAATATTGGCCAGGAGTCGTCGGCCAGGTTTCCAGCGGTCCAGCGAACGAAACAAACAAAAAGTTTCAGGCCCAAAAACTTGAACAGCGAATCAAAAGCCTGGCCAAGGGTGGAGTCCAACCTGGGGAATTGTTTTTTGTTGTTGTTTTTGTTTTTTTTTTGTTTTTAGGGATATGGCTGGGTGCCCGATGACCGGGGAGTAGCGTAAAAAATGAAATTAAACGCGCGCTTTAATCAGAATCCCAGTCCAGGTCCAGACCCAAGTCGCGCGACTCTGCCTTTTTGTCCGCACTTTTTATTTTCGCTTTTTTTTTGTTTTTATTTTTTTGTTTTATTTTTTATTCGCGCTGCCCTTTGGATGTTCCTTTCTGCGGATCAGTTAGGTTTTTTTTGTTGTTAATTTCGTTCTTTCCAGAAGTTGTGGCGCATCCTTTGCCCCCAGTTTTTCCCATGTTCCCAACATCACAAGACGCACATTCGAGTTGAATTCTTCTCGCGAACGGAACACTCGCGCTGACCGCTCATATGGATCTGCGGGATAGCTGGCCGATCATTTCGAGAACGTAAGCTCCGTTCGTAACAACCGTGGGATTTTCCACCTCCTCTGCGCTCGCGAAAATCTTACTCGAGAAATATAACGAATACGGATCGGAACGGAACGGAGAGATCCCCCACAAAAAATATATATATACCACTCTATGAATGGACGTCGGTTGTCGGTCGGTTGTCGGATCGTTTCTGATTGTGATACGTCGCCGTCGAAAAGTCTCTTCCTCCACTTTGGCTGCTCTGCTGACGCTCTGTTTGGAAGCGTGAAAATTTATTTCACTCATGCGCGATCCGAGCGCTCAAAATCTGTGGCTGTTCTGTTCTGTTATGTTCTGCTCGCCCCCAAATGTACAGTGGGTGTGAATGGGTTTTGTCAGGTTAAAAGTTATTAATATATAATCTGGTTATTACTTTTTAGTGCTTAGTAGTTCCTAAATGAAAAGGGAAACTAAAGGTTTTAGTAGGTCTGAAATGGAGTTCTAACTATTATCCCTAAGCTTTCACCTTGTAGAGCTAAATCCTTATAGTCTTATCCTTTCATATTTTAGTAACTTATAAGCAGATCCTTTGTGGGTTTAGAAAATGTATCAAAGTAGGTACCAAATGTAATGCGAATGTCTACTCAGATAAACTCATACCTAAAAAGAAAGAAAGATAGAAAAATTTTAATAATTTTTCTTCTTTTTTGCTTGACATTTAAGATTTTAATAATAATAATATTCAGTGATAAAATAAAATTAAAATTAGTAAATAAAAAATATAAATATTTTTATGATTGCTTCTTCTTATTAACTTTCCGCATGCAAGGCAATGGCAATATCTTTTAATATTAATAATCAAATTTGTACTAATAAATGCCCACCAGGCCCATAGTGCAACGTTGCCGGCGCTGTTGACGTCTCAGCTGACTGCGACGCCACCGCCTGTAGTTTTTGTGTTGATTTTTGAGATATTTTCTAATGTATCTGTAGATTGTGTTGGATGTGCTTTATTTTTTGACGGGGTATACGGATGGCACAGTGCTTGCTAATTGTATGCGAACTAAGTGAAAGTGGGTGAAAGAAAGAAGGGGTTTTGGCCTAATTAAAGAGTTTAATAATTTTCGTTTTTAGCTATTTTTTTTCATGCCTTAGGTTTTAAGTTGTACGATCATTAAAGTTGCAATTTTATAAAATGGGTTGCAAAATCAGTAAAATTTCAAACTTTAACTTTGAAATGGGCAATATTTTTTAGAAGAATTAATTTAAGAGCAATACAAAGCATAACATTCAAAGGATTTTAGAACCAGGAAGAAACTTAGCTCCATCTCTTCTTCGCTTTTTATCGAACAACTTTATCCCCTTAACGTTATGGATTTTTCAGTCAATAAAGTCTAAAATATTTTCAATTTTTATTTATTTTATATGCTTTTTGTATAAAGTTTAATCTAATTTAATATCTTAAAGTTAAATATTAAATTAATAATAAATAATAAACTATTTTCCGTAGATCTCCCTCCTCGGAAACTTACTTTTGACCTTCAGTGTGGGCTCTTTGACTCGGTTACGGTTACCTACCCAGCCCCACATCGTTCCTCTTGATTTCCGTTCCTGTGACATTGCTCTACTATCCACTCTGAACCTCCTCCGTACCCCCCCCTCTGACCACTCATCCCCCCACCATCCACCCCTCAAATGGCTCCTCCACCCGCGCTCTGTTTTGGCCGCCGCGAATTGTTTACACGCGACAAACTTGTCATCTTTTTTTCGTGTACATCTCGGATGATAAAAAAGGTTAGCGACTTTGTCTTTGGCATGCTCTCCGCTTGTTGGGCTAGGCCACGGGCTCAGGTAACAACAAACAAAGTGTATAAAAAAAAAACCAGAAACAATATCAACTGCTGGTTAAAAAATGAAAGGAAAAGAGAACTGGAACACACACACGAAAATAAGCATCAAATCGAGTCGCATGATCATAAAAATTGTGCCACTTTTCTACTCCACCACTGTCTTAGTCCTAGTCGGAGTTTGCATACACTCCATCTTCATCTTCATCTTCATCTCGATCTCCATTGCCAGACACGTTCGCGTAATAACGCTCTGTGTGTCGTATCTGGACGGCTAATCATTTTCAAATATCATAAAAACACATTTCACAGAGCTCATCCGATGGGCTTAGAAGCTGGCCAGAACCCGAAACGGGAGCAGCTACCAAAAGCCTAGTCAGTCAACAGTCAGCAGAAATCGCAGATAATCTGAGAATGACGCATACTAGTGGGTTACTAACTGATTATTGGTTTATTTTTGGAAAAAGTTGGTGGAATATTTAAGGTGGATATAGGAAGTGCTTAACTAATATAGGTAATTCTATATGCTTGCTTAAAAAGGGGAAGAATTAGGGAAGAAAGTCTAAAGAAATGACATGGCAATGAAATTTTTTTTAATATTTAATATTTTATGACTTTTTTATATGTATTTTTGGATATTTAACTTGTTTGTTTAAGAAATAATTCAGATTATGATCAAACTTACAGCTTTTTTAAACTATCTTCCTAACCTAAAGGGAAGTTTCACTTCCTAAGACAGCCTCTAGTTGGTCTTCCTGTCAGGGAGTTTGTTCCTTCTAGTCTAGTAAGCTAATAATATTACTAATTTTTAAAGATTTATTTTTAATAAAAGAGTGTCTTATAACCTTTAAAATTCTTCAATAACTTTGAATTTTACCTAATTAAGAAACAATTTATTATTTAACGAACAAAAAATTGTAATAAATTTTGTATATTTCCTGGCACTAATAGAGCTGATTCTTCTACATTGGTTCTTTTTTTCCCAATAAGTTCCCTTAGATATCATCAACTTCTCAAACCACCCTCTTAATAAGTCTTTAGCTTCCAGCTAACTGATCTCGATTTGGCTGGACAGCTCTATAGCTTGATGGCTCTGCTCAAATATGGGCTAATCGTCGTTGGTATTATTGATGTAGCCTCCTCCTCCTCCTCCCCAGCTGCTGCTGCTGCTGCTGCTTGGCGCTCTTCTGTTTGTTTATACATCTCAAACTTATTTTTTTTTTTTTTTTTTCGTCGAGCATCCCAGAGATTTCGGCAGCTTTCTGTGATTGTTCCTTAATTGTTGTGGGGGATTCGGTGGTTTATGGTTTATGATACTACCAGGTTGTACTACCGAACAGTGGAGGGGGAGGGGGCTGGCTGGTTGGTTGGTTGTCTGTCTAAAGTTCACAAGTTGTCAAAATGTTTGCGCCAAAGTCTCAGAGGCAAGGCATTTGGTGGCCCGGACTTATCTGACTGTGTTAACACATTACCCTCACTGACGTCCAACTCGAGATGTGTTTTCTTCCCAGTTTGACGGGGCTGATTCAACAAATAAACAAAAGGTAAAAACCTCACGGAGAGAAAATGTTTTTAAAATGTATTTAATTAAGGTGTTTTTTGATAGCTGATGGGTTTTAGTGATGTCTAAGAGGCCTTAGTAAGTCTTAACTTATGCAAAAGTAAATTTAAGTCGAAACTTAGATTCCTTTTTATGGTAAATTGATTGCAAATTTGATAGTTATGGCTTTATAGAAACATATATCATTATATATAAAAATATTATTAAACTAAAATCATTTCTTTAAATCATTTCTTATACAGCAAACCCATTTCTTTCTCTGCCCCCCTTAGAGAAAATATGTCTATTAATTTAAAATAGACACTGACGAAGCCGCTGAAAAGTTGCCTCTTTCCTTATCGCTCTCAATTGAGTTGCTTAAAAAACAATAAAAAGCGAAACGAGAGCAGAAGTCCGAATGATTAATGGATGCCAAACGGTTGTGAAATCCTGTAAACAAAGTCAAGGAACAGAGACAAAGGCTTTCCGCCTAGGAGAGACCAAACTGCAGTTGGCTTCGATCACCATTCCGGATCGACTGTCAAATCCTTGATGTTCACCTGATCTGACTGCAAAATCAAAATGAGTGGGAAGGAGGTCCCGAAGGGAAGGAATCTGGTCAGATTCTTAGGCCGAGGGCGCTTGGCCATTGAATTCTCTCGCACTATCAATGGAGGATCATAAAATCTTTATGGCCGAAAGAAGCTGCCTCAGCAGCAGCCACAATTCTTTTAAGTGCCCTCCATCGTAATTACTCTCAAGCCCAAAGTCAGCTGAAAAATATGCCACTACAGATCCACAAATATCACTTTGTATATATAGTTCTATAGCCTTCTGCCCGATAACCAAACATTCTGATGGGGGAGGGCGCTATATGGTTCAGCCGAATGACCGATTCGGGGAATCAGCTCTCGATCTGTGCCGCAAAAGCTCTCTAAA